ACATATGTAGTAATACGCATTTTTAGCCGCCTCATTAAAAACCTTACAAGAAAACCCCCATGGAAAAACAAACTTAGTAAGGAAAAAAGAGTACAATGCGTATTTCACTCCCCCTGATGAAAACCTTATTTCAAATATTTGAATCTCTGCATTCCAATCTTGTATACCATCTTCTCAAAAGTTGAAGTTGGCAAAGACTTAGTGAACAAATCTGCCGGATTGTCACTTGAACGGATTTGTTGCACATCAATGTCACCATTTTTCTGAAGATTATGTGTGTAGAATAATTTTGGTGAAATATGCTTCGTTCTATCTCCTTTTATAAATCCTCCATTTAATTGGGCTATGCATGCAGCATTGTCTTCGCATAAAATTGTGGATCTTTTATCACATTCCAAACCACATTTTTCTTGAATAAAATGAATCACTTATCCCAACCATACGCATTCCCTGCTTGCTTCATGAATAGCTATCATCTCAGCATGATTTGAAGAAGTAGCAACAATTGATTGCTTTGTGGAGCGCCATGATATGACAGTAACTCCACATGTAAACATGTACCCGGTTTGAGATCGAGTTTTATGGGGATCAGATAAATAACATGCATCTGCATAACCAACAAGATCTGCACTACCTTTGTTAGTATAAAACAAACCCATATCAAATGTTCCCTTTAAATATCATTCCAATGTCTCCGTGTAGGAGAAGAGCTATATCTTGCAAGTAAATTAATAGAAAATGCTATGTCAGGCCTTGTAGTATTAGCAAGATACATAAGTGCACCAATTGTACTGAAATAGGGTATTTTAGGACCAAGGAGTTCCTCATCTTCTTCTGGATGTCGGAACGGGTCCTTATTCACTTCAAGTGATCGAACAACCATTGGTGTACTTAATGGGTGCGCTTTGTCCATGTAAAAGTATTTTAAGATATTTTCTGTATAGACAGATTGATGGATAAAGATACCGTCTGCTAAATATTCAATTTGTAGACTAAAACAAAGTTTTTTCCTTTGGAGCTCTTCTGGAGTTCCTATGAGATTTATGTCATTAACATAAACAACACGTATAACAAACTCTAATGTTGTTTTCTTTGTAAAAATGCATGGACAAATGCCATCATTTATATAACCTTCATTCATCAATTCAGTGAGGCGATTATACCACATGGGCCCTAATTATTTTAAATCATACAAAGATTTTTGTAATATGATTGAGTACATTTCTTGAGACTTTGAATTATATGGTTCAAGCATTTTAAATCCTTCAGGAATCTGAATGGCATGACATATAGGTTATGACTTGCATCTAGATGGCATGACATCTTCAAGTGTCTGGACTACAGGTCTGATCCTCACAATATTGTGCACTATTTTATATCAAATCTATCGTCGACGATCATTTTGTATCGGTTCGCAAACGATATAACTTGTTGAGATCTTATCACTTTATTTATTTTCAGGTACCTGAACTTCTTCTAGAGTTTCATGCAATGTTATGTTGTGGGCTCTTCCAGAGCTTATTTCCTCCTTATTATGATCATTTTAATCATTTGCTCCTATCCTTTTCAAGGATTGTTACCTTTGGAACCGATCGGTTTACTACGCTTCATGCGTACGGTAAACTTTATCCTTCGGGACTTTAATTTTAATAGGAGCATTTGCAGCTGAAATATGATATTTAATTTTGGATTAGCAAATGGTTCTGGCATTTGACTTGAATTATCTTCTAAGCGAAGATCATATTAATGATAATTCGATTCATATAGCATATTTTTCAGCTGTTTTATTCCATCCCCCAAATATTAGAAAAACTAACTCATATCCCTAATCTTCTTTGGGAAACATATCTTTGTGCATTGTGGTAGAAAAATTAATCATATACCATACATCAAAAGTTATTAGATAATAAAGATATTTGATTTTTGATCCTAAACCAATTGTGAGGGGAGGACTTATCATATTTTGTTTGTCTGATGCATACAAGTACTGCTGTATGTAATTTAAAAAATCTTAGACCAACACATGAGACTTTGTTCTCTTAAGTAATAGTTTAGCCATTAATATGAGGTATTCAATGCTAAACTAGTTTGGATATAAACCAGCATCATCAAGATGAACTATCTTGATTTCATAATCTAAAAATTATGCTCTTAATTGAGAAAGATAATTTCAAATGCCAAACTGCAAGTTGACAATAAACATATATGTAACCATCTTATATATGCATCTATAAGTGGTTCACATGATGGGTGAATGAGCCCATATTCACCTTTTATATATTCTAGAATTCGGGAAATTTAGTCCCAACTTTAGCTGGTATAATCAAGCTATTATGAGAACAAGCAACACAGGAGAATTCTTGAAGAATCTTCTAGTTCTTCAGTATATGCTTATCTGAATTCTCAAATAGCTCATTTAAAAATGGCAAATAAAAACTTCAAGTTTATCATGTCATGTGCTATCTCTTAGTAAGCTTTTGGTTTACTATGGCACAAACTTTTGCATCAGTAAACTTCTGATTTACTGTGGCTATTTTTGCATCAGTAAATTTCTGGTTTGCAGTAGCTACTTTTGTCTTAGTAAAACTTATGATTTACTATGACTGTTTTTGTATTAGTAAACTTCTGGTTTACTGTGATACATGATATAGTACAAATTGAAGAATAAGGCGGGTCACTTCTCACATACATATTATTTTACCCCCTATGATTGTGGAAACATGAAGATTTTCAATCTTTCAGTCATTTGTAGTCTCAATATGATAGCAATTTGTATTAGTAAACTTCAGGTTTACTACAACATATGTTTTGACCATAATCATATAATATGAATTATATATTTGTATATAAGCTCTTCGAGAGCCTTCATTTATTATCCACAATCTAATATTTATCAGACACTACTGGTGTCATATGTCTTCTAGACAAACAGTTAGCTCTTCAGGAGTTGTTGATACATTTTGTACTATTAAATATTTTTCAGACACTTCTGGTATCATGAGAGAAAATCATATTCAAATAAACAATATAAAATAATTGTTTAAGCACAAGAATACACCTCTTCATAATATTTTCCTACTTCATGAGGAAATTTCAATTGTGTTACTTCTTCATGAGCAAATTTAAAATACGAAATATTGAGTATATATTCTCTCAATCATATAAATCTTCTAGAGGTGAATTGTAATATATTTACAACAAGAGCGCGTTCATATTTATGACTTTATTAATATTATCACATTCACTTCAGGGAATAGATTAATATTTATTAAAAATTTTCATCCTTCAGAAAATCGAACATAATTATCTGAACGCGCATTAATCACATCAAATTGTGATGCTTCAACCTCTTTTAAAATATTTACTACTTCAGGAGCAAATCAAGGCGTACATGTAATATAGAGAATATTTCTCTAGCTTATCTTTAATTGTAACCCTAGAAAGCCTAAATTATCACTTCTGGTGGTCATAGGCATATACCACTTCTGGTGGTTAACAAAATTTAGCCACAATGAGATATACGAAATATAACCACTTATGGTGGTTGTATATTTCTTACGAATTCTGTTGGAGTTTAAGTGGATCTAACAATGTTATTCACGTTGTAATCATTTATTAAGATAATAAGGATGAAAACAAATACCAAAATAGGTACTGTATACGTAACATATAACCAAGCAATCGATGATAAAGATATTAAAATATAAGCAAAATGCTCAAATTAAATTACGCAAATTTGGCCACTCCATATGTAAGTGATATCTATATCACTACTGCCAAGAAGAAAAACTCACCACCTCAAGGATATAATCTGCCTTTTGATGCTCGGAATGAACAAGATCTGACCACGGACATAAGAGTGTCGCCTTACATCGGAGATGAACACTGAAATAGAAATTAAATTGGATGTAAGTGCTCAAAATAGCGGAGTCTCGTGTTGATAACGTGTTATAAAATAAAGACTATAAAAGAAATAAGCTAAAGACAAATATAGAGGGAGATTGATATTTTATTCAACTTTCAGAGTTATATTCATAATGAACTGAAAACTCCTCTATTTATAGAAGAAAGGAAGCAGTTGCGAGACTTTTCAGGAACCAGCTGCAAGGCTTTTCTTTAACTGCTTGTAAGCTGTCTGCATGAGCTGCTTGCAACCTGCTTATTTAATAAGAAGCTGCTACAAATCATTTCATTGATTTGTTTGCATCAGCTGCTTGTAAGCTGTCTGCATGAGCTGCTTGCAACCTGCCTGTTTAATAAGAAACTGCTGCAAATCATTTCATTGAGTTGCTTGCAAACTACGTGCATCAGCTGCTTGTAAGCTGTCTGCATGAGCTGCTTGCAACCTGCCTGTTTAATAAGAAACTGCTGCAAATCATTTCATTGAGTTGCTTGCAAACTACGTGCATCAGCTGCTTGTAGATAAACTTTAATAGAGTACTAAATGGATAATATTCTTCAGGAAGATTATCTATAACTGAGTAATGAATGGACATCCACAATATAATATTTTCATAACAAATACCTGAATAAATATTGAGAAGACAAAACTATATTTTCATAACAAATACCTGAATAAATATTGAGAAGACAAAACTATATTTTCATAACAAATACCTGAATAAATATTGAGAAGACAAAACTGCATTTGAGGTAATAGAGCAATGCCGTTGAACTAATTGCGAAGTGCGAAACATCATATTTCACTAAAATCATACCCATGTAAAGTTTGTTTCCTTAGGCAACATCGAACCAACTAAACAAATACAAGGGATTAGGCATAACTAAAAACAAATTTTTATACAGTCTTAAATCAAACATAGATTTTAATTATTATAGTATTATACTGTATTGTATATCTATTTTTTAATACAATGAATCATACATGCCATAAAAATAATCACTTCATTATAACCTCCCACTTACTAATTCATGTATTTCTATCCCTACATAATTTAGTAAACCAAAATGAATATAACTCTAATCATAGTATTGTCCTTTTCTTCTTCTCCGTTATCTTATTAAAAAAAAAACAAAAGAGAAAAGAAAAACAGAGCTGTATGTGAAATAGCTATTTCTTTTGCAAAGCTAACACTTTTAGGAGAGATCTCATCAGCACAGCTTTACACTTTTGGGAGAGATCTCATCTTTATTACAATTTCAGATCCATTTTTCAGTTAGGCAGATCCAACCATGGATTTCATGAAGGTCTTCGATCAAACGGTCCGCGAAATGTAAGTTTTTCTTTGTAATTAGATTTGCATTCTCTTTTTAGTTAATTTTTTGAAATAAGATTAGTTTTACTTTAATTTGTTTTATGGGTTAAATTTTTACTGACATTTTTGCAGAAAGAGGGAGGTGAATTTGAAAGTGTTAAAGATCCCTGAAATAGAGCAAAAGGTAAAATAATTAAAAGGAAAATTAAATACATTCAGTTTTTTTTTTTTTTTCAATTGTGATTATTCAGTACATGTTTCTTGATGTTGTAGATTAATGTCTGATTAATTAAGTTAAAGAACTACCTGGTTCAAGTTAAGGACATTTGAGTGATTATTAAATTCTAATTGTATTGAGTGCTCTGGATTTTCTGAGGTAAAATTGTGTTGCATTTCGTTTCCTAGTTGTTGAGTAGAAAATTAGCGAACCATATTGTATTGAACCATGGAACGAATCTAAGAACATGTAGAGAACTCTATGGGAATGAACCATGGGAATGAATCTATAAAATAATCATTTTATTTGGCAAAATTTTCCATTCTCTAATCCATGTCCTAATTGCTGCTCAGAATTCCTTCTGCTCCACCTAGATACTCAATGTGTCCCAATTTATGTGATACTCTTTAGTTTGTCCTCAAAAGAGTGAAACCTTTCTATATTTAGAAACAATTTGATTTTGGACTTCCGATTTTACTAATGAGATGATTTATAGCCACCGAAATGTCTATGGCTTTTAGACGACAAGTTTCATAAGTATTTCTTTATTTCTTGAACTTTACGCCAAGGCAAACAACCTCACATAAATTGGGACGGAGGGAGTAATTGATCACATGTTGGGACCTGGGCCGGTTAAATGAAGTCTAGTAAGCTAATGTCTTTATGAAAGCATCATTCATGAAAAATTGAGACACGTGAAGGTATATAATGGTTTTTCAGATGTCATACATGGCTATGCACTTTGGCATACGTTTTAACTTTACATAGCTCAGGATTTTTATTTGTTTAGGCATAGGCTGGTGGTTATTCTTTTTTGAAGGTTAGGCATATTATATAGAAAGAGGTGCATAGAAAGTAGATTGGATATTAGGACTATCTTTTATTCTTTTACTTCTATCAGTTTGAATGATGATGTGATATATTTCAACATGGAACTAGGTATTGGATGCTACGGATGATGAGCCTTGGGGCCCTCATGGTACTGCTCTGGCTGAGATAGCACAGGCTACAAAAAAATTGTACGGCTTAGCCATTATATTTTCCGGATTTAGTTGAATAATTCTTTGTTTGTCTTTTCATCAGCTGGCTGATCTATTGAGGTATTTTGCAGCTCCGAGTGTCAGATGGTCATGAATGTGCTCTGGACAAGATTAACTGAAACCGGAAAGAACTGGCGTTTTGTTTATAAGGTAGGAAATATTTTTCTAATGGCATCAACTTGCGTAGCTAAGCGAGTTAAAAACTTTAGTACTAATAAAATATAGTAAGACAAAAGGAGAGCAAAGACTTAAGCTTCCGATCGTCAACTTTGTTGTCTCTTTTGAGTTTCTATTCTATAACTTTTCAAATAATCTCTTATTTAAATAGTTATGGATTAATGTTTGTACCAGTCGTTGGCTGTTATAGAGTACTTGGTGGCACACGGATCTGAACGCGCAGTTGATGACATCATAGAACATACATATCAGATCTCTGTACGTATTCTCATGTTATTTCATCATATTTCTTATTTTCTTTTGCCAGTACCAAAACATACAGTTTTTTCCTAGTCTGACCGAACCAGGTATGGTCCTTTACCTTCTCCCTTTATGTCTTATATATTTATTGTTTCAATTATTCTACTCAAGTCTCTCACGAGTTTCGAGTATGTTGAGCCAAGTGGGAAGGATCTGGGCATTAATGTGAGGAAAAAGGCGGAAAATATTGTGGCACTATTAAATAACAAAGAGAAGATACAAGAGGTTAGGAATAAAGCTGCTGCAAACCGTGACAAGTAAGTATCTGATTTAAGGTCTGACTTTACTTTTGATTACTCAAGAGTTCCTAGAAACTTTAGTTGCATAATTGCACGCTGATGATATTAGATGTCACCTTTTAGGTACGTTGGAGTATCATCTTCTGGAGTGTCATATAAGTCAAGCTCTGCCTCTTTCAGTAGCAGCGGCGGCAGCTTTCGGAGTAATGAGCGATATGGAGGTTTTGGAAATAAAAGCGATGGCGATTCATTTAAGGATAGTTACAGTGAAAAGGATCGATATGATGAAGAAAAGATTGATCAAAGTACTTATAAGTCAAAGAAGGGATCTTCTCGTTATGGCAGGTCTGTGCACCCTGCTTCTTTATCTATTTATTTATTTATTTATTTATTTTTCTTAGGTAAGTATAGCTAACTACCTTTTATTCTGCACTGCTTTTATCCCATTTAGCTGTTTAATCTTGGGGGTTTTGCATGAAAAAGACTCATGTTTGGGGTTTGTGGCCTAGGGTAGTTCATACTTTCACATAGCTGCTGAACCTGTTATCTGGTGCTGCAGAACCATTCAAGTGCATACTCTTTCAAAGCTTATTGCAGAAGAATGGAACATATATTAGCAGCAAACATGGCAAAAATTAAATTGCCGTTGGTTCATGAGACTAAGGGTCTAGTTATTATCTTCCCAGATGTTCATGTTGTTGCTAACACAAACTGGTGATGCATAACCATTCATGTTTTTTCAATAGGTTGCTCCATGGTCTACGCCATTCTTGCTTTTGGCTCTCAAATTGTTTTTGGCCTGTCATCATACTTTAAGCTGCTATATAGAGTTTGTTTGAACTTTAGCTTCCCTCTTTATTTAAATCATAGATTAAATTTTGCACTGGCATTGACTTTAGTTCAAATAAGCTGTTTCTCTGGGAATGGTAGTTTTCTTCCATGTTTTAATTCATGTCTCTTTTCGGTTAACATTAATGACATCTGCAGCAAAGTTCAGGATACTGTTTCCGCTAGTGGATCAAAGATGATGACGAAGATAGGTGAGCCTAAAAAGTCTTCTTCACAGAGATCAACTGTACCATCAAGCAATTACGAGGAAGATTTTGACGATTTTGATCCTCGGGGGACTTCGAGTGCTAGTAAGTATCTGGTCTTCTATTTTGTGTTTTATAGGAGGCCCTCGTTATGCACAGTTCCCTATAACATGTTTTGTTTACAAAGGTTCTGTAACTTTACAGCTTTGATGGTTTGGGCAAAAGAACTTCTATAACTTTTTTGCATGTGCACGGGTGGGTATTCAACAAATTAGAGAACTCTATTAAAGGTAGCAGCATAAGTTGTGTGTTACATCAAAACCTATGTTCTTTTTGAGCCTGGTAAAAATTTATTGGTGTCCTGGTTGACCCAAAAAATGCTAGAGGTCAAACAAAGTTTTATTATCTGGCTGTCCTATTGTGTTGGAGACAATCATTAAGGAACTAGGGCATATTAACATTAGCAATGGTAAAAAACAACAAATTATTGACGTGGACTTGATTTCCTCTCCATGTACTTCTGAAGTACATTCTTAATACATCATTAATAAAATATCTTACCTTATGAAAAAAAACAAAAACAAATTATTACTCAATCTTTAAGACATCTATTTGATAGAGAAGACATCTATCTTTAAATGAAATTATTGTGTAGAAGTGCACCAGACCTTTTAGATGTGGCAAAGTTAAAAAAGTTGTCATAAATCTTTTGGTGCGGGATGGGAGAGGGGTAATAACACAACTGAAATGAGAGCACATATGCGTGTTGGAAATGAAACCATTGAGGTCCTAATCTCATGTAGACTGCAACTTACTGCTTGATTTGCTATTTCTCGTTTCGAAATTTACTTTAACTTATTTTGGCTGTCAAACAGAGCCTTCTACAGGAAATTCTAACCAAGTAGATCTATTTGGGCAAAATTTGATCGGTGACCTCTTGGATGCACCGACACCTGCTCCAGCTGCTACGTCTACTGTGAACACTGATCCATCAGAGGTTGATTTATTTGCTGATGCCACTTTTGTATCAGCAAAACCACAGATTTCGGGTGTAGCTTCCCAAACTCCAGTATGAATCCCTCCATCACCCTGTTTAAACTCTTGCTCTTAATATTGGTTGGTTCGTTACAAAGTAGCCATTTGTCTTTTCTGCAGAAGGGTGTGAATCTGTTTGCCTCCCAGCCTGCCCCTTCAGCTGCAGCTTCAACAATAGATTTTTTCGCTGCACCAGATCCTGTTGTACAGTCTAATAACGGATTTTCAAAATCACAGATTACGGGTGTAACTTCCCAAACTCCAGTATGAATCCCTCCATCACCCTGTTAAAATCTTGCTCTTAATATTGCTTAGTTTGTTACAAAGTAACCATTTGTTTTTTCTGCAGAAGGGTGTGGATCTGTTTGCCTCCCAGCCTGCCCCTTCAGCTGCAGCTTCAACAATAGATTTTTTCGCTGCAGCGGATCCTGTTGTACAATCTGATAACAGATCTTCAAAACTAGACCAGATGAACATTAACACTGTTGATCCATTTGCTTCAGTTCCACTAAATACTTTTGATAACTCTGATCCTTTTGGTGCATTTGTTTCTCAACCTGTATCAATGCCCGATGAAAATGCTAGCAATGGTGGGAGTCATGATGCTCATGACAAATTAAGCAAATCGTCTGTTGAAGCTAAAACACCGCCAAAGAAGGATACATTTCAAGTCAGGTCTGGAATATGGGCTGATTCACTGAGTCGTGGGCTGATTGATCTGAATATAACTGCACGTAAGTTGAGTGCTGGATATCATCACTTACATTTTTGTTTAATTTTGAAAATCATGTTGCTATTCGTATTTAGTGGCATGTAGTCATGTACTGCTTTTTCATCAAGGGTCGATTTTTGAGGTGTTCTGAAAACTACATTTAGAAAAAGACTGCCTCCTGGTTGTCCTATTTGATCTTTAGATGACCTTGGTGCAATTTTCAGAGACCTGGTGGGCGTACTCAGATTAGCGAACTCTTTCTTTTTTAGTTCCTTTCTTTTTTCGATTCATTGATTGGATACTCACCAATGTCAATTACAAGGACAGCTTAATAGCAATATGGAGCAGTCCCTTTCTTGTGTTTTCCCCAGCTCACTTGTTGCCCAAAGATGGTCGTAGGGTCACTACTGAGCACAGACCCTTATCGACTACATGAATTGTGCCGATTGCTCCCAATATTTGATGGTTTGACCATACTTGTGTCTTGTGGACATGTTGAAAAGATGTAACAACTTGAATGACAAAAAACACTAATAAGTGGTATACTGAAGCTTTTTGTCTTGGTCGACTTAACTTTTCTGGTTACCTGATGGGATATACCTTTTGAACTTACTCCTTTCCCCCCTAACTTGCAGCCAAAAAGGTCAACCTTGCAGATGTTGGCATCGTAGGAGGATTGACTGATGGATCAGATGAGAGAGAAAAAGGGCCTACTACTTTCTACACTAGCAGAGCAATGGGTCAAGGAATCGGACATGGCAAATCTGGTTTCCCGTCAGCAGCAACAGCTGGAGATGACATATTTTCAAGTCTTAACACACAAAACTATCAGTTTGGCGGCTTTCAGAAGTGAATAATTGTCTTATTGCACCTTGCAACAGATATTAATTCGCCTATTTTCACTCAAGATATTCATTTGTGAGCTTGACGAATCAAGACCAACGTTACATTAGGGAAGTGACCAGATATTGGGTAACCAGCCACTATTTGAAGTACCATACACCTTTTACGCCAATCGCCTCTTGTTTTGATGTTTTCTACTCTTGAGGAGCTTCCTTGTATCCTATTTTCAAAAACATACTTTAAGGTCTTTGTCATATACATCAATAAACAACACTTAATATCTTAGATAGCTGGTTGCTATTTCGGCAGTATGTGGTTGCTCACGCTAGCTGAACCTGTAAGCCAGTTTGATAGTCGTGGCTATGTATTCAGATATTCATTGCTTGTATTAATGTTTCTATATGGAGCGGCATCTTATTTGACTGCCTTCATTATATCTTTCACAGTTTTCACAGTTTTGAGAAAACAATAATTCAGAACTGGAGATGAAACCTATAAATCAAGAATTGTTTTCGACATCAAAGTGATTGAAAACGTTTGTGATTAATGATATTTTCTTCGAGATTCAAAGTGTGTCTGGACTTGCTAGCAAAGGAAAAAGATAGCAGCAATCGCTGAAGACTCACTAAACCTCACCAGTAACCAAAACACTGTAACTAGTGAGCAATCAAATTTTGAACTGTAGCTGCCAAACTGCTTATTTATGGTACAACAGTACAAGGGCAAGTTTTATGTTCTTTTCCATCTTTTCAGAGTCTAAAGATACAATATAAGTCCTGCATGAACTTCCTGCTTAGAAATCTAGTTTCCCCCTTAGAATGGCTTCGGCTTTTCTAGCCTGCTTCACTGGTCCAATGATGAAAACCTGCACCAAAGCAATCCTAGGTGAGACAAGTAAACAAGTAGACTACAACTGCAGTAGGAACTTGAAGACCTTCGATACGCCAAAAGTATCGATAAAACAACATATAAATTGAACAGCTCTAAGTAATTCAACATTTTTTTACAGCTTTAAAGTGGAAAAACTCTGAACTGTTTGCAATTTTGCATCTAAGATGATTAAATCATGAAAACAGGCAATCAACCACCTGAGGATCTCAAAAGGTACACAGTAAACTTGGTAAACAGCTTCACCCATGGTGGTTGAGCCAATACCACATTTAGGTTAAAGCTGCATGGTCTTGTTTATGTTAACCCCGGGAAACTTCAGCAGCAGATCAGCATTGTAATTAATTCTTTTCTTGGAACTCTTAGAAGTTAAAAAGAAGAAATAGCATATTTATGGATGTAAACACTTTTGGTGCAAGGAAAATTTCAACAGGTATAATAGCATTCAATCTTTGACACTATAGCACTAACCTTATCAGCAGGACCTTTAGCACCTCCTATGAATATTTCAGCACTGCAAATGAAAAGATTGTCAAAGTCAGAAAACTTGATTACTTCATCACTAGTAAACCTATACATAAATCCCGGCAGAGACAAAAAATACTAGCTGGTTTCTTCCAATCTAGCTAAGCCATGGTGGGCAGAGTTACCCGGTGCCTGTACTAGTGGGAGGTAGCAGGTAACTTGTGGGTGCGCACAAGGTGGCCCGGAAGCCACCGTCATGGAAATAGATAAACCTATACATTTTCCGAACTCTACTAACTGCTGTACATTGAGAGTCAGATTGCAAAACCAAAATATTCTTGGACAGGTATACTAACCTTTCAAAAAATTAGTTTCTGGTGACCAATTTTCCTTTGAAATACTATATTCTCTTGTTTCCTCTTCTTTCAAAACAATCTTTTTCCCACAAGGATAGAGAATGACTAAAGCTGTCGAAGCACAATTATAAATGTTCTGACCTCAGGTATTATTGACTTAAAATATTATCATACCAAGCTCATCAACTGGGTTAAAGGGGCTACGGTCCAGCACACGTGATAAGACATAATTAATAGATACACAGAGCTACAATCAACTCAGTCCATCATTTTAATTAAACTAAGCTCAGGTAACAATCGGGCAATATGTTGTTTGACATGCTCATTCTCTCTTTACTCTCTCTTTCCCATTCTCTCTATGCATGATGCATTTGTTCTATAGTTCAACAATGGGATATAAAACAAAAGAGGAAATTAGTACATTGGAGCAGATGGGATCTATGAGAATGCACGGGAGAAAATTTATATTGATCAATTAATTATAATACAATGAGCCCTATTTATAACTATACATAATACAGATCCTACTCCTATTCAATAAGGGACTCGGACTAATTACATATTAACCATATAACTATCTAAAAGTCCCCCTCAAGCTGGTGCGTACAAATCATATGTACCGAGCTTGTTACACATGTAACTAATACGGGGATCAGTGAGGGACTTGGTGAAAATGTCTGCAAGCTGATCATTCGACTTCATAAACTTTGTTGCAATATCTCCTGATAGCATCTTTTCTCTGACAAAATGACAGTTAATCTTAATGTGTTTAGTTCTCTCATGGAACACCGGTTTTGATGCAATATGAAGGGCAGCTTGATTATCACACACAAGTTCCATCTTGCCGATCTCACCAAATTTCAACTCATTAAGCAAATGTTTGATCCAAACTAGCTCACATGTTTCCACGCCATTGCTCGATATTCTGCTTCTGCACTAGACCGAGCAACCACATTTTGTTTCTTACTCTCTCAAGACACTAAATTACCTCCTACTAAAACACAATATCCAGACGTAGAACGTCTATCAGAAGGTGATCCTGAGTACCCAACAATTTGCTCATGGCCTCAATATTCAAATAATAATCCTTTGCTTGGAGCTGATTTTATATATCGAAGAATGCGGACAACTGCATCCCAATGACTATCACAGGGAGAATCTAGGAACTGACTTACCACACTCACAGGAAAGGAAATGCCGGGTCTAGTCACAGTGAGGTAATTTAATTTACCAACCAGCCGCCTATATCTTGCAGGATTGCTAAGCGGCTCCCCCTGTCATGGCAGAAGTTTAGAATTCAAATCCATAGGAGAGTCAACAGGTCTACAACCTGTCATTACTGTCTCCTCAAGAATGTCTAAGGCATACTTCCGTTGTGATACACTACCCGAGCTAGACTGCGTGACCTCAATACCTAAAAAATATTTTAATCTGCCCAAATACTTAGTCTGAAAGTGCTGAAATAGATGTTGCTTCAACTTAGTAATACTATTCTGATCATTGCCGGTAATAACAATATCATCAACATCAACCACCATATAAATACTGAGATTTGAAGCAGAATGCTGATAAAACACAGAGTGATCAGCTTCACTACGAGTCATGCCAAGCTCCTGAATAACGGTTGAACTTACAAAAAAAAAGGCTCGAGGAGACTACTCTAGACCATAGAGGGACCGATGCAACCAACATACAAGGCCACTAGACTCCCCCCTGAGCAACAAAACCAGGTGGTTGCTCCATATAAACCTCATCCTCAAGGTCACCGTGAAGAAAAACATTCTTAATGTCCAACTGATAGAGAGGCCAATAGCGAACAACAGTCATGGATAGAAAAAGGCGGACTGATGCTATTTTAGCCACGGAAGAGAAAGTATCACTGTAATCGAGCCCAAATATCTGATTATACACTTTGGCAACAAGACGAGCCTTAAGTCGATCAACTTGGCCATCTGGACAAACTTTGACTGCATACACCCAACGACAACCAACAATCGAGAGGAACAAGCTCCCAAGTACCACTCGTATGTAAAGCAGACATCTCGTCAATCATAGCCGACAACCACCCTGGATGAGACAATGCTTCACTTGTAGACTTAGGGATGGAAACAGAGGACAAAGATGATACAAATGCATAATGGGGTGATGGCAAACGATGATAACTTAAACCGACATAATGGGGATTAGGATTAAGTGTGGACCGTATACCTTTCCGTAGTGCAATCGGTTGACTAAGAGGAGACAAGCCCGCAGTATTAGCATGGTTAGGTGCAGGACGTGAATCAGTCGGGCCTGATGCTGGGCGCGGACGACGATGATAAGTCAAGAGTGGTGGAGCTCTAGAAGGTTGAACTGGACTAGGTGGTGGAGTGGGAGCTATAAGTGGTGGAGCTGCAACTAGAGCTGTAGGTGGTGAAGCTGGAGTTATAGAGGAAGATGAATGGGAGATCGTGACTGAATCTCCAAAAGATGGAACTGGTAGCACCTCGGAAATATCTAAGTGATTACCTGGACTTGTGAAGTATGATTGGGTTTCAAATAAGGTAACATCAGCAGACATAAGATACCGCTGGAGTTCAGGAGAATAACATCGATATCCCTTTTGCGTTCTCGAGTAGCCCAAAAATATGCACTTAAGAGCACGAGGAGCTAACTTATCTTTTCCTGGAGTAAGGTTATGAACAAAACATGTGCTCCCAAAGACACGTGGTGAAAAAAAGAACAAAGGTAAATGGGGGAACAGGACGGAGAATGGAGGCTTGATTCTGGATGGCTGAAGATGGCATACGATTAATAAGATAGCAAGATGTAAGAACTGCATCCCCAAAAACGCAGCGGAACATGAGATTGTATGAGTAGGGTACGAGCAGTTTCAATAAGATGTCTATTCTTTCTTTCAGCTACCCCATTTTGTTGGGATGTGTACGGACAAGATGTTTGATGAATAATCCCACGAGAGTTCATAAACTGCTGAAATGGGGAAGACAAATACTCTAGGGCATTATCACTACGAAATGTGCGGATAGAAACCCCAAATTGATTTTGAATTTCAGCGTGGAAGGCCTGAAAAATAGAAAACAACTCGGATCGATTTTTCATCAAAAATATCCAAGTGCACCTGGAATAATCATCAATGAAACTGACAAAGTAGCGGAATCCCAAGGTAGAACTGACCCGACTAGGACCCCAAACATCTGAATGGACTAAAGTAAAAGGTGACTGCTCGATTATAAAGACGCCGAGGGAAACGGGAGAGGGTATGTTTACCGAGCTGACATGACTCACACTCTAGAGTGGACAAGTGAGATAGACTATATACCATTTTCTGAAGCTTTGACAAACTGGGATGTCCCCCAACCGTTTATATAATAAATATGGTGAATCGGTAACAAGACAAGTTGTTGAAGAAAGACAAGATGTGAGTCCATGTGATTTTGCAAGGATAAGGTAGTAAAGTCCATCTGATTCACGTCTGGTACCAATGATCCACCCCGTACTGCGTTCCTGTATAAAAACAAGGTCATCAAGAAATAAAATAGAGCATTTAAGTGATTTGGCTAATCGATTAACGACTATGAGATTAAAAGGACTACCAGGAATATAAAAAACTGAATCTAAAGGTAAGGAAGGTAGTGGACTTGCTTGGCCTATTCCAGTTGCCACAGTTTGAAACCCGTTGGCCATCGTGGCTGTTGGAAGAGATTGAGAACATGAAATAGTAGTGAAA